GCTGCCGCTGCGCCAGCTCCTGCGCCTGCAGCGGGTCAGCAAGGCCTTCCGCGCCGCCGTGCAGCTGCACCTGGCCAACCTGCGCCGCTTCGACGCCAGCCAGGTACGGGCCGGCGCGGGGCTGCGAGCCCGGGGGAAGGCCCCTGTTCGCAGCGGGCAGGCGGCACTTCGCAGAGCGGGAAGGAGCCAAGCTGGGAAGTGAGCGGGAGGGATGGAGGAGCGGGCACGCGCCCGCCCGTGGGCGAGGGAGGCTCGGCGAGCCCGGAGAGCGAGGCACCAGATGCTGGCGGAGGGGGTTACTGGTCTGCTATGGGATGCGGTGCCAACCCCGTGCCTGGGACCAAGGGGGCGAGCCCCCCCTGCTGAGATGTGGCAGCTTGCCAGGCCGCCCGTGTCATGGGGATGGACGTGGCGGGGGGCAGGGCAACACGGGAGGCCTCATTCTCTGCCTCCTGCTGCAGCTCGGGCCGCACCTTCCCAAGCCTGCCTTCATCGAGCTCCTGAAGGACAACGAAGTGCTGCAGCAGCTGGCCCTCCAGGCCTGTGCCGACTGGCTGACGGACAAGGAGCTGCTTCCTGTGATCGGCCAGAACCACCACCTGCAGCAGGTCCAGCTGAACGGCTGTGCCCAGCTGAGCCGCCACGCCCTGGTGGCCATCTCCCTGAGCTGCCCGCACTTGCGGCAGCTCTCCCTGGCGCACTGCGAGTGGGTGGACAGCCTCTCCCTGCGCAGCCTGGCCGACCACTGCAAGGCGCTTGAGGCAGTGGACCTCACGGCCTGTCGCCAGCTGAAGGACGAAGCGGTTTGCTACCTGGCGCAGAAGTGTAGTGGGCTCAAGTGTCTTTCACTGGCTGTCAATGCCAACATGGGAGATGTGGCAGTAGAGGAGATTGCCAAGTGTTGCCCTGAGCTGGAGCACCTGGACCTCACAGGGTGCCTGCGGGTCAAAAATGATGCCATCAGGTATTGAGCTTGTCCCCTTGGTTGTTGTGGAGGGTGGGACCAGGAGAGAAGGGGAAAGTGAGGGAGGCTGGCTCTCTCCCATACTGGCTGCACAGGAAGCTTAGTACTGGTGAGGGGAAAAACATTAACAGGTTCTGCTAGGTGGCTGGGTTATGTAATCCTGTGGCTGTGGGCTACAGCTGCTATGGGGCTCTGATGGAATGGATTGGACCAAGTCCTTCCAACCTACCTGCATGTGGTGTATGCCAGGCAAGGTCCCAGGGACGTGCCCCTTGGCCTGCTGGAAGCAGAGAAGGAAACGAGTCCCAGGGCCAGGAACAACAGTCTGTAGCTTGTGCTCTCTTTTCTGGCAGGGTCTTGGCTGAGTACTGCCCCAAGCTGCGCTCACTGAAGGTGAAGCACTGTCACAACGTGGCTGAGTCCAGCCTGAGCATCCTCCGCAACCGTGGGGTGGAGCTGGATGTGGAACCCCCAATGCAGAGGGCTCTTGTTCTCCTGCAGGATGTGGTTGGATTTGCCCCCTTCATTAACCTTCAGATTTAAGACAGGAACAGCCACTGCTGAGGGCCACCAAGGACCCACCATGGCCTCTGCCTCCTGGAGGATGCCATGAAATGCTGCTGCTGAGGTGTTGGGAAGGGGTGGTGCATCCCACTGGCAGGGCTGGTCCTGATAAGACTTGCCATCCTCCTCTTGCACTCTCCCTCAGTGCTGTGTAGCTGCTGATGTGTTGGTGAGCGGACTCTTTTGATGCCCCCACAGGGAGAATGAGTCCCTTTGCAGTGGTGTGAAGAACAGGAATCACTCACAATAGCGCTGTGGTGCTGGACATTCCCCGACATGCCAGGCCAGCTTGGCACTAGGAAGGATTATTTAAGTAGTCTTCTAAGCATCTTGAAGCCCAGACCCTGGTGCTCTTGGGTATGGTGGGACTTGCTGTTCAGAGCAGGAGTGTGTTGTGCAGGGACTGTGGACTGAGAGAGTGGTGCACAAGGCCTGGTTGCAGAGTACTGCATGAGGAGCAGAGTTGAGCCAAGGGGAATGGCTGGCATCTCCTGGAAAATGCAGGACCCACTATATAGGGTAGAAGGGGGTGGTGCAGCAGCCAGAACATAGGAGCCAGCTACTCAAAAACCAGAGAGCTGCCCCTCAGGCCAGCAAGGGGCCCAGCACAGGGTGGAGTGGCAGCAAGTCCCAGTCAGCCAGGGACTCTGTTCCTTACCCCAGGGCCTCTGTTCCTTACCCCAGGGCCCTTGCTCCACTTAAAAGCTGTTGCTTGAAAGAAAGAACCCTGAATTTTAATCTTGCCCATGTGACAAATGTGAGTTGTCAGGCTGTGACTCCCCTCGGGCTGGCCCCCCCCCCCCCCCCACTCACCCAGGTGTTGGTTCAGAAATAGAGAATGAATGTAGCAAGACTGTCATGCTGCACATCACTAGCCTATGGCTTTGCTCTGTGGCTCTGGCACTGACCACAGGAGCAAGTTTCTTTGGGGTGCCTCAGGTAAGGTACAGTTGTGCTTGCAGAGAAATATGGTGCTGGTCAATTCTCTAGCATACACCCTTGCATTCAAATGCAAACTGCCAAACAGCTGGGTCCTCAGGTAGGGTTGGGGTCTGAGGCCAGAATCAGTGGTGACTGAATCCCTGTTCCAGGGAAAACCTGTGCATCTCCCCACAAGGCACATGTGCTCCAACCAAATTCCACATAAGCTCACATCATCTTTATTAACAGCGACACTCAGTACAATCAGTGCACACAGGTTTAAAAAGCTTGTCATGCATGACAGCACAAGCCCACATTAGGTTTTAAAACCCCCATGCATGAAGGAGCAGGGGGTGCCTAGGACTCAGCTGGTTCTGCAAGCCTGGCCCCTGGTGTGGGGGATGGTGTTGCTTAGGCCCCTCCAGGGCAGCAGGTGCTAACTTGGGGAGGTGAAAGCAGCATCCTGGCTCCCAGGGATTAGTTCCAGTTAGGACAGGAGGGGACCATCTGCACTCCACTAACTGCTGCAGGTCCAGCGCTCCATTCAAGGCAGAGGACGATAATGTGGAGGGAACATCCATCAGTGGAATTTATACTTCCTGGCTGGTTTGAGGCTGATGTAAGTTCTCTTCATCTCCTCACTCTCTGGCTTCTTCATGTCCTTGTATCGCTCGCCCTTTGTGCTCACTACCTGGTTATCTATGTAGCGGATTAGCTTCTTGGGAGCCTGGAAACAAAGTTGACACTAAGTGAAAAGCCTCTCCTAGTTGCGGGAGGCAGCCCAGGTGATTGAGTGACTGGCAAGAGCTGGAAATGCTGCCCCCTGCAACACTCCTTAAGTCCAAGACTAGCTGCCTGGAGATCTGAGTCTTGGGTAAAGAATGGATAAGGTGTACCCTTAACCCAGTATTACTTGGAGGTGGTCGAGATGGGTAGATCCTGCTCTCCTGGCCACACCTGCCTAGGCCCTGTGAACAGGCTAGCTCCCTGGCCTGTTGTCTGCCTGCTGCTGACCTGCAGTGGGGTCACACTAGAGCCAGAGAAGCTCCCTGGTTTATGATCAGCTGTGCCTATTGGGGCTCTCACCTCCTTTGGTGGTACTGGCCGGTGTGTTTTCTGATCCTCTGCACTGTCCACCATCATGTATCTGAAACACAAATGGGTTGGTGAATGCAACACTTACTCCTTTCCACCCCCTTCCCTCCAATGTGCTGCTGATTCCTCCTGCCCCTTGCTGGTCACAGTGGGACTGCACACTGCTTCTGACCCTGAAATGTGTTCCTGTGGGGCATGTCTCCACAACCTCACAAGTGTGCTAAGGAGCAGTATACTGAAATGGGGAATGCCTACTCCATGCTACACCCTGGAAGGGCATGATGTCACTTGTTTAGAGTGGCACTAGGCATGTATTGAAAACTCTTGGTCTCCAGCATGTTTATTGGCATATGCCCAGCACCATGTTAAGGACAGCTACACCACAGGGTTTTATAGCATGGTGAGTGGCAGACAGGGTGTGTTGTGCTGTGTGCTCCATTCTACTGCTCCTTCGTATGGCCAAGAGGCAGCGTGCATGTACCTTTGGAGTTCCTGGTGCAGGACTTATCACCTGCATAGGAGTGGGAGAGAGAAAGCAGTACCTTGCTGGAGGTAGGCTCTGCATGCATGATATAGCTTCTCTCACTACTGAAAGTAGCTTGGCTACTCAGTTTGGCCCAGGGAGTCCCAGAACTACCAGACTACTCTGAGACGCAGCAGCCCAGGTTTGTTTTGTCGTGGCAGGTGGGGTTGCTCCTTCTCAGGCCGGATGGACAGGTGAGTCTGCTTGCACCTCCCACAGGCTTGCCTGTTAGCACCATGCTGCAGAAGGAAAAAAAGGCAAGACTACACCCAGGGGGTTCCTGCAGTCAGTACTGATGTGGCTGCTGCTCCTTGCACAGGAGGGTGCTCCTTCAATCCTTACTGCACTGTGAGCCCTGACTTACTGAGGGTTCCGTTTGTAGCATGACCATGTGAAAACAACACTGCACCATGCCTGACTAAGGTGCACAGGGGGCTGCTCACTGGACTGAGGAGTTACTCCTGTGGGCACTCTGGAGCCAAAAATATAATGGAAGCAGTGCAGCCAGCCTTGTCTGTTTGCCCACTAGCCAGATACTTGCTCCTGCATGTTTTAAAGGTACAGCGGTCTGCTCTCCAGAACTGTACTTGAACGGTGTGTAAAATACAGGGCATTGCCAAAGTGTCATTAAAGTGCAGTTATCAAATGTGACTAACAGCCAGTGCCTCTTTTTTTACTCATGAAGTCTGTTCCCTCAACTCCAGACTAAATTGGTGTGGGATAATAAGGAGCGAGGGTGTTACCCCCTCAGAGACTGCTCTTCTCTAGGATGCAGTGCTAGATTCTGTTTTGCCTCATTAGCCTTTAGCAAAATCATCAATAACTGAACCCCAGCTGTCAGATCTCTGTAACTAGTGATGTGGCAGGATGAACAAGGCTGGGTGGGCAGATGAGGACTGCAGCTTTGATGTGTGTAGCTGGACAACATGCAGGAAAGTGAATCCAGATGAGCTTCTGAAGTGGATTAATTAAGCCCTAGTATAGTCACTTATTCAAAAGTATACCACAATAAGCAGGAGGCTGCTTTAGTTATGGACACTATAGTCCACAGGGGTAGGTGGGGGAGCAGAACATTAATGCAGTTTAAACAAAAGTATGTTATTGTTAAACTTATACTTAATTCAGAATCTGGTACCCGAGCCTTCCTTTGGAGACAGCCTACATAACAATTCCCTTTAGCCTTCTCTGAGCTGGCTCTCTGGAAATGTAAATAGGAGAACCTGGCACAGAGTTTGGATGGAGCCTTTTCTGATCATACATGCAGTTCAGCATTAGCCATGGGCCAGACATGCTAGAATCTTCCAGCTACTAGTGACCCATTCTGCGGGGCATCACATGGCTCTGACTGATTATTCTGGCCTGGTGCTCTTGGACATTTTCCTCCCTGCCCCCCCCCATACTTCACAGCCATCAGAACAAGAACCAGAGGGGCCCCTCACTGCTAGGTACTTACTTCTGTAAGATCAACTGTTTTAGTTCCTCTTGCTTAGGTGCTCTGCGGGGCCTCACCATCTCCTGGGAATAGAGAAGAAAGCTGATTGAGCTGCAATGACCACAGTTGATCAAGCCTTCCTGCTGGCTTGGCCACAGCATGGGTGGAGAGAGACAAGGGAAGGTGGATACTGATCACTGCGCTTCCCTGTTGCCAGCTTGGTGAGCTGAAGTCTCAGGTGGGGGAGGGGAGGCAAGCTTACAAGTAGGCTGGGTTCCTACTATCCAAAAAGATCTATTGGCTTGGGAGGTACAGAACCACATCAGTGTGCATTGGACTGCAGGGATGTCCTGCTGCTTCCTGCTCCTTGAACTGACCCAGGGCACGGTACCTTCAGGGTAGCATCCACTGGGCTGATTTCCACCTTCTCCTCTATGATGAGCTGTACTGCTTCTTCAAGGTTTCCCAGTGCCATGGCCAGCGTTGTCTGAGCCTGGCTCACAGTGCAGGCTGGGAACATCTCCAGGAGCAGCTCCACGCCATCCTTCAGGTCACCTCCTCCCTGGTCAGGGCAAGACACAGGCTGATTCTAGAAGGTGGTGAGTGGCCTGGGCCTTTCCCATGTTGTATTGGAGGCCAGGGAAATAGGGTTTTCAGACAGAGATTACGCCTCAGCTGCAGCAGATCCAAGTCTACTCCAAGGGGGAAGCCTCACCTACCCCAACAGTAGGAATCCAGTTACAGGATCCTCTTGCTGTAGTGGCTGCCCACACACACTCTGGACTTCTCCAAGAGCTGCCTCCCTACTTGCTTGTTTTCCTCCATGTGCTTCAAATAGTCCTCCAAAGTAGGGCTCCTGGCTGTTGAGTCACTTCCCTACTATACTGCTGCACAAGCGTTCACCCAGAGGGCCAGATTTGGGATGCTGGCTCATTTCTCTGGGGGACTAACAGCAGGCACTGCCTTCCTGTGGGGTCAAAGCATGCTGTACTTAGCACTGATGTACAGGCTAAGCACAGTACAGCGTGCTACCACTGCACTGGAACGGCTCAGGGGCAACATGGGCAATTTCCAAAGGCAGCTGGTAATCCATGACTGATTTGTGGGACTATCATTGGTATTCTACCCTCAGATACATGGAGTAGGGCAAGGGGTGCAGTGAAGTGTTTTGCAGTTACAGCCAGAACACAACTGTTTGGATAAATCAGTGAAACTATGCAGTTAGCTTCCCATTCAACTGCATAGCCCAGAACAGTCTTGGGAGGATGAGATTCAGGGTCTTAGCAAGCAACCCTGCCTAAAGTTAGCACTCTCCCCACAAAGGACCCTGAAGTGCCCAATAAATGTTACTAAGCAATATTGCACACTTACGTCATCAAGAATTGCTTCCTAGCACCAAAACGCACTCAACTCTAGGAGTGTGGTAGCTGTTTGAAGGCTTGGAACAAAGCGGAGAATACAACATCCAACTAAAACTGCAATGGGTGAGTAGGACAATGTAGCAAGAGGAGTTGTAGTTTGGCTAGGACTAATCCTATGGTGTTCTTACAAACAGTCCTGCAAGATCCTGAATGACAAGCCGTCAAGTTCTCTGATGCATCCCATCCTAAAGACAGCCCAGCATCCTTTAGCCTTGGTCTCAGGTCAGGGCTGATTCAGAGGGAGGACAGCCAGCTGGGAATTCCCATACCCCTGCTTGTGGTGGGTTCCCTACCCACCTACTGACAAGACCCAACTTGCATGATCTGACAAAGCCACGTCTCAAGCTAAGGTTGAGAGACACAGATGATGCCCAGGGTCACCTCTGTCCTGGTGGCATGCAGCTCTGCTCCATCTGCGTTTAGCGCTCTGGCATTACAAGAGGCAATTTCCAGGCAGGTACCAGTACCTCAGCTATGGCTTCTTCTGCTGGCGTACGCAGTATTTCCTTCTCAGGCGCACCTGCTCCCTGCTTGCTGCTCCAGTTCAGCTCTTTGGTGGGTGCTTTGTTCATGCCTTCCACAGGCCTTTGGCAAAACTTTTCTTAAAGACACAATGCACATGTATTGATAAGCTGCCCCATACAAGTTAAAGCTACATGTCTCTTGCCACTAGATCAATAAGGTTGTTATCTTGCCTTTTCCTAAAACAAAATCCCTCTCAACTGATGCAGTGGAAGCCCACCACATTCCTGCCACTATATATGGGCACAGGTGCTGTAGCTTTGTTCCCATATCTTGCTGCAAGAGGCTTGGGTACCTTGCCCTAACCTTTTCCAGACTTAGTGGAAAAATACCTGACCAGACTTCACCATGAATTCCTCCACCTACCACCCATGAGTCTTAATCAAGTTACCAGTCCATGTTCTCACACCTATCTTGCTTATGTTTTTGGATCTCAGAATATACAGGTAAAGTTCCAGGATGCTACTTGACCCAACATGCATCATAGCCAATTGCTCTGACCCGGTCAGCAGTGTACCCTGGTATGGTAAACTGACCTCTGGTTAAATCACACAGGACTGGTGGGATCAGAGCTGCAGGCTCTTTTCCCACAGCTTAGACAGATTCCCTGTGCATGACATTAGGGAAAGGCATTTATATTCCCTGCCTGAATTTATCTATCTGTGAAATGGGGATGATGTTTTACCTGATACAGCTACCCAGTGTGCGAGTTACAGGAAGGCAGACACCTAGCATGTCCAAACCCATTTCCAAAATACACAGCAGATGACCTTGATATCACATTCCTGTTCATGGAATTTCCTCCCACTTCGTTGAATTTGCTTTATATACACAGCTGAGATCCCCAGCTACCTCAGGGATTTGTCCAACAGCATTATGCTATCCAAAAGGCTCCGATTCAGCCACAAATGACAGCATTCCAAGCTACTAAACCCTCCCACACACTCATGTCAAGGGCCTGACTTAATTCTATAGAAAAAGTCAATTAATTCAGACTCCCATGGGAAAATCTACTCTAAATGCTGCTGCCTATGTGGTAAGATTATTCACTGTCCTGTGACACCTTCCCATCCCCCAAAACACTTGAAGCTAAAAACCACGTCCCTACAGCACTTTTTGTGCTCGAGTACCCAGCACATAACTTACCTTGGTTGTGAGCTTTACTGAGCCTTTCAGAGAGAGAAAACATCATTTCACAAACATCTCCACTGCAAAAGACAGGAGGAGTGTAATTAGCACAGGAAATGCACTAGCTTATCCTTCTTATTTAAGTAACTCGTGATCATCTCTCCGCTTCATATCCTTCTATAGTTTGTGTGCGATTCTCCACCCCACATTAAGAGTTTCTGGGAATAACAAAGCTGACATCTGTCTTCAGAGCTCCCAATGACCCAATGTGCTAGCTACCCAATCCTTGCAAAGCAAATAATCTGTGAGCATAGTTGATCCTCCCTCAGGTCAGGAGGTAGGGAAGAGGAAGAAGGGAAATTGGACTACCTGATCTCTTCCAGCTCTATAATTCATGAGCCACCAATCTAGAATGATGGATCCTGCACAGCTAGTGCATGAGGTAGACTAGTGTTACTGGAAGTGCAGAGAAATAAACTGGGACTGCATGCAAACTGTTTATTTCTATTGATGACCCTATATCCTGTAAAGGCCTGACTGCATGGTGTGGTACCTTAAACCAAAGAACTGAGTTGCTTGCACACATCTGGCTGCAACACTGGGGCCCTTGGCACTGAGGCCCAGAACCCAAGGTAGATACTGCCTGGGTGAGGACTGTCACTCACCTGTTGATTTCTGCAAAGCCAGGGATATATGCTTCCATCATTTCCACAAAGGTATCCATATCAAAGTTCTCTTCAGAGGACTCTGGTAAACCCAGCTCTTCTAAGACACTAGTGATGTAGGAGAAGACAACTTCATCCATCCCACTGGAAACACAGAGACCACAAGCTAAGGGAGCTGGATTAACAGACCCATGTAGCCAGTATCAGATCTCACACCTGAAGCCAGATTGGACGTGGCCAGTACTTGAATAGGAGACTTTCCGGGATAATCCAGGTGGCTACAGAATATTCCCCCACCACCCCCCATTTAATACATGGCTTCTTTCTTTCCCAGTCAGCACTGAATTAATACCACAATATACTGCAGAGACAGGAGATTATCCTGTCAATTTTGAATCTCGGCTCAGACAGTAACTCCAAAATCCTGAGCACTTGTGACAATGTTAGCTTCTGTTTCTGGGCACAGCAACTCAGTCCATCAACCTGAAAATTTATCTCCGATTTCTACATGAAACAGTATTCTTTTCCCCTTTCTGTCCTAATTTCATGTACTGCTAAACACCCACCCGCTGTTGTCCCTGCATAGAGGTGGCTACATCTATATTTCATGTGTTGGTAAAATTCTCTTGATAGAGAACATGTATAGATTTTCTGCTGTTTGAGAGCACTCAGAGATGCCGTAAGGATGAAAGGAGCAAAATGGTATGTTGTTGAATAAAGAGGTTAATAACCCCTAATCCATAGTTTTATTAGAATGGTCATATTAAATAAAGGATGGTGTGAGGGCTATAGCAGAATTTGGACAAGTTACCATCACCCCTGAATACAATACAACAGAATACAATGCAGGAAGGCTAGACTATTGGATGGAGAGAGTTCCAGGGGCAGATAAGAGTCTAGACTCCATAGATGTGCTGTACTTACCCAAGATCAGCATTGGGGATATAGGACTGGATAAAGCACGTCAAGGTATCTTGAATTATTCTTTCCCGCTCCATTGCTCTTAATCCAGATGTCTTTAAAGAGAAGCAAGAAAAGGAAACAAAAAGCACCATGACTGCAAAGACGAGAACAAGATAAAGTATTCCCCTGCACAATGCAGGCACATATGTACAAGCAGGCAAAGCATTTTAAACTCTGCCACTCCAGTATAAAGCTGCAGGTAACTGTAGTCTAAGCTTCCTGCCACAAACCTGCAACATGAGAAGCCACAAGAAACACCTGCTCAGTACAGTATCCTGGTCTGTACTACAGCTCCTCTGTGCTGTCTTGGTCAGTGGTGCCAATTGCTTTCCCACCTCCCTTCCATAGTGGCACCGAGCACACTCTTGGGGTCAGCAGCACAGCTGGAAAGCCTGACGTGTGGAGCTGCAGGATTTCTGAAGCTGATCAGAGTGTGGAACTCAGCACTCTTTGAGGAGGAAGGCTTCGGGTGGTGGGTTTGCTCGCTCACAGAGGGAGAGGGTGGGTCTTCCAGCCAACAGCACTTGCAGTAAAGCCTGGGCTCATTAATGGGTGGGAGCTGGAGTAATGCCTTGCCATGAAAGGGCCACTTCTAATGGCTTTCACAGGGAAATACCAGACAGGGCACAGACAGCAAGTCTGCCAGCCAAAATACCAAAGGTCCCCAGGTCAGGCAAGACATTGCTGGTGGAATCCTGCCCAAGTGGGAGCCCATTGTTGTGCTCTGTGAATGAGGCCTTCTGCAGATGAATGTGGCCACAACAGGGGGCCTTTGATAACTGGAACTGAACAGGGGAGTTCTAAGAATCACAGACCTCCCACGCAGGCAATGGCAGTGCCTGCCCACACTGTTAGAGCCATTTGAACCCAGTGCAGAGAAGCTAGTCCACCAGTCTGTCTTCATCCCACCGGCCCCCTGCTGCTTGAGGTACAAACCAATTTGGACAGCATGGCAGGCAGCCTCTTAATACAAGAGCCAAGTTCTCCTTAACAAAGAACTGAAACTGGTATTGTATGACAAAGCTGACCATGACTACTCCAAACCTACACACTTGATTGCACTCCAGTGACAGTCCTCCAATGATGCAGCTTTCAAGCCCTAAATTAGGCAACTGACCATAGGACAGCAACCCCATGAGGTGCTGAGCGTAGACTTGGATGGGCATAGGGGATACTTTCTTAAAGATGGGTCTTTGGGAGAGATGATGTTAGAGTCAGCCTATTGCACTCTGTACAGATTTTGAAGATCCTCCCCATGGAGAATAACATATCCAGCTGGCTCCTAACTTCCCTTTCCAGTTATAAATGGCACTTCTGAGGTCTTCTTAGGCAGAGAACAGCTGGGCTCCCATGCATTCTGCAACAGTCCCCTGGAATTCAGGTCCAGACACAGAAGCCCCTGTCCCAGACAGCAGCACCCTTGACAGCTGTGTTACCTACCACACCTGTGCTCAGAGCACAGAGGAGCATCAACCACAGAGAAACATCAACCACCTGCCAATGTGGAGGGAAACTGGGAAAGAAACCTGTAACCACCTGGTGGTCTTTGCTGGAGTATCCCATCAATGTGCACTGTTGACCTCCCAAAGACAGCAGGAGGAGGTGGAAGCATCCTGAGACAGCTTAGGCTTTTTCTCAAATCACTACATGCATCTGTTCCTCCTACTCCAACAGGCTCATGAACCATGTACCCCCAATCTCAGTTCTCCACCTCCAGCCCATTCAGTCTCTATAGGAAGCCTTTGGGAAAGTCAGTGAAAGAACATAGGCTGGAGAGCCAGTACTACCTAGGTGACATGTAGGTCTCCATGTCCTTACTAATAGAAGGGGCGTTATCTCCACACCCAGCTGCCCAGCTGTGACCAGTGCCTGAGTGAAGAGCAGCAGGCAGAAGCTGAGTTCAAGACAAGACAGCCATGAGCTGGGGAGGAAGGGGGAAGTTTCTCTTCCATAATACCACCACCCGTAAGGAACATCTGTGGTGGGTATTGTGTGGTCCTGAGCACTGGGGCCCACTTAAAATGTGTGTTGTGCTTTGGGCCCCCCTAACACAAGCTGGCAACACATGCATACATACATCTGTTTGGGAAAGGTGAGACAAGTGCGCCAAGTCCTCCTGGATTCGGTTCTGGCGAAGGCAAATCACATCTCTGTCACATCTAACCTCAAGGGCTGCAGTTCTCTGCACCAACTGCAGGTTTGTCACGGTATAAAGTGCTGGTACTCTTCTGCTCAGCAGCACAAATGGAACTGTTTAACATCTTCATCAGTGACTTGGACGAGGGGGTGGAAAGCATGCTGTCCAAGTTTGCTGATGACACTAAGATGTGGGGCGATGTGGACACACTTGAAGGGAGAGAGAGGCTGCAACTAGATTTAGACAGACTACAAAAGTGGGCAGATGAGAATAGGATGGGGTTCAATGTAGACAAATGCAGGGTGCTGCACCTTGGGAGAAGGAATCCACAGCATACATACAGGCTGGGGAGTTCCCTTCTTGAAAGCAAAGAGGTGGAAAGGGATCTTGGAGTCATTACTGACTCCAAGATGAACATGAGCCGCCAATGCCAGACCCAA